CACTCAGTGTGAGGGCCCAGCACAGGTCTGTGCTCAAGGAGCTGATGGTCTCACAACAAAAGAATTGATTTTTGCAAACCCCTTGGCTAATAGGCTCGAGGAAACGTGTCTGTTCTGATCTCATCAGTGAGTACTTTCATGATGTGGTACTGAAAGTACAGCACGACACACCTACTCGACTCCGCAGAGGGAAGCAAAGCAGCCGTAGGCAATACATCAACAAAAGGTCCTGGTTGTGTGCCAATAAAACTTTATTTACAGAAGCAGATGGCGGGCCGCAGTTTACCAACCCCAGACCTACAGCAAGGAACCCTGCAAACCCTAATTTCGTCTTCTGTAAAATGAGGCAACTGAATATACTATTAATAGTATGACCTTCCCACTTTATAGCATTCTTACAAAGATCAAATTAGATGATAAATGAGAAATCACTTTATAAACCTTTAGGCCCTGTGCCATGGTATTTATAATAATTATAGATATCAACTTCTTATTCATTCTTCCAACAATGTATTTTTTATTTGTTGTTTGAGCAAAATACACCCTTGAGAAAATCGAGCCCTGCATCAAGGTTCTATCACAAGCATATCCACAGTATCTAACACAGAGCTGGGCACATGCTGCGTGCTCAGGGAATACTTGCCGAAGGAATAAATAGGTTCTTTCTGCAGAGATTAATGCCTCATTTTTTTTTTAGGCTTTCCACTTAAATTATGTAATACAGTTGCTTGACTTCATAAAACATATTCTTAATAGATACCCGTAATATATGAATGTAGAAAACAGAATTTAACAAAGTACTGACAGGTGAGTCATCTCGCCTGTGCTGGTGTGGCAGGTTCCCTTGTCCCTTCCTTTAGAAGTGGTTTCAAGAATTCTGGTTTTCAGTGCTATGACCTTCAGAGGACAACCACAGTAGGTGTCAACGTCTGCCCCCGCAACGCAATTGGGCATGAGATTTTCTTTTCTTTCCTGTGGAGCAGTTGTTTATTTGTACCTCTTTGGACTTGAGCATTGACTTTAACGTGGAGTGTGCTTAGAAGATGGGCAAAGATTGGAGAAAGGGCAGTGGGACAAGCCATGAGATTCAGTGGCTGCACTGCAGGGTCAGCAGCCAGTTTGACTCTGAAACACATTTGCCCTGGAGTTTTTATGCACTTGACCTCCTCCTTCCCTTGAGGAGATGGTATTATGTGAGGGGAACTAACTGGCACAGGGCGAAACTCTCACGGCATGGACTAGCAGCTCTTTTTTCCTTAGGACTGTTTTGGAATCATAGAAATCTCACAGCATTAGCTACCAGTAAATAAAATGCTGCCCATGAGGTGAGGATGCAGAAACAACTAGCAGCAATATGCGGCAAGCAGCCAGAGAACTCAGGGATAGAAAGATTTAACGTGCAAGATTTTAAACTATCTGTAGAACATAAGATATAAAAAGTTTCCACGCTTAATTTGGAGGTTGAGGAACATTTGTTGCTGTGATTGTTTTTTGCAGAAATTTTGCTAGAATCAGCATGCCTGAATGAACGCGCGGCTGTTCTGAGCCACACAGTTCATGAGAGCATAAATTGGGAGTGAGATGTGGCACATTGAGAATATCTGAGCTGAGGGGGCTCCGGCATCGTGGGTTTTGGAGGAGCTAACATCACTGCAAATGTAATCAAGTCCTTTGATAAGCTATTCATGTTCCCTAGCCATTTATCCAATCAGAGTAAGCTAACAAGAGCAAACAGAATTGGGAGAAAGGGTTTCTGATTCCCTGAAACAGCAGTCATTAGCCCCATAGTAAATGATAACACTTTTCAATTTAATGAGCCGGATTGCCCTTCTTTTCATTAAGTTGAATAAGTCAGACGAGCTCTTACTTAAAGTTATATGACATATCTTTAATTTTCCCTGATGAAACTTACGTGAATTTTTACATTATTGGTGACAGGTTCTGCCGAGAACATGAAATAATTCTGGAAGGTGTCCAGTTTTTTTTCTCCTCTGGGTATTATCCTATTCCAGAATTTGGTATTTATACCTAAAGCAATCAGAAAAAAAAAAAAGCAATCTCTGGGACAGAATCAGATATTTTGGGCACTTCTTTTTACAAACCTCCCTCTTTCCGATTGTATTTATATAACCTGCTATATTTTATGTATATATGTGTATATATATATACACACACATATACATGTACTACACATATGAATGAGTCCATATAATACACATAATTATGTAATAATGCATGTCATATTCTTTTAAAAATAATGACAATATACAAATTTTCCAGGTCAGTTTTATTTTAATCCAATCTACTTATACTTTCTCCTCCACCAAAATGCAGTTCCCTCAAGATAAATTTTCAACCCATTTTAGTTTTTTATTTATTGACTTTTATTCCCTTTGGAGGAGTTGGTGGCTGCCCACGGCCTTTGTAAATAATGCGATGCCCATCATTTTGTCACAATCCTTAGAAATAAAACCAAGAAAGGAGGACATAAAAAAGGGAGATGCCTCAGAAGAAATGAATTGATTGTTTTAACTGAGTCAAGGACTTTTTATACTGACCTATTTCCTCTTCTTCACTCCACCTTTGTGTTGAATAGCAAAGCTTTGTTTGTCTAGATTGCATTTTGCATGTTCAAGTAAAACTCAGTTTATAGATTTCTCCACTAAAGTTTCCTGTGTGAGAGATTCTCAACCATTACCAGACTTTTTTTTTTTTTGTATATTATCTATTTTTCGTCCCCTCCCCAAAATACTGCCAGCCACAGGGTCTCTCACTCTTTCCTAATCCTTCATACACCCCCCTCTCAGAGGAATTTAGCACTTTCTGAAGGGTATTTTACATGGAGCATTTGGACTTTATTTCTGGGCGTGTGTTTTTGTCTTGCTGCAGCTGATCACGTGAGTAGTAGGCTCCCGTGTGCGCTGAGACTCGTTGGCCATGGAACAGAGAGCAGAAGGGATACCGTCTTTGTGGTTCTCTGTTGCCATTTCTCAGCGTGTGGTTACCTAGAGGGGGCGGGGCACCGCTGAGGCTGCACAGGCCTTGGGTATCTCACCATCCCTCCTCCTTGCCCCGAGACTTTCATTCTCTCCCATGGAAGGTTTCTCCTCTCTGCTCCCTCCCTCACTGTCCTGTGGGGGAGGGTTTGAGAGCATCACATCTCTTTTGCATAATGTTTGTTTTTTATACAGTACTTCCCATTCTCTGTGGCTCCAGGACATACCCCCTGCTTCCTCTGCACGGGAGCCACTTTGGAATTAGAAGGATTTCTGATCTGTTTATTTTTAAGTTTGCCACACAAAAGGCCAATTTCCAATTCGTATAATAAAAATGGAGCCTCCTCTGGTGGTGGATGTTCTGTTCAGTGTCAACAGTAAACCTGACCTTCCACTTTGGTTAAATAATAAGCCCCAAGCTAATCACACATGGCTTCTTAGACATGCACTGCAATCAGTAAGGATTTAGCCACAACTTCTGTACAATAATCTGTTAAAGCTTCTAAACATTTGGAGAGATCTCCTGATTCTGTCCACAGCTGTTCCTATATTGGTAAGTGATATGTGCACAGAGATTTGTTTTGCTCCCAAAACAGATCCCCAGTCGAATTAGTCCTTGGAAATAGTAATTTAAGAGCATATGCCAGGCTTGGATCTTATTAGAAGGAAAGAAAGCCCCACTCCTTTTCCTGGTGTGGGACGTGTCGTTGACTCGTGTCGACGCTGGGTGTTTCTTCCCACAGAAGTGGGTGGACGGCGGCCTCACCAATAGCCTTCCCATCCTGCCTGTCGGTCGCACAGTGACCATCTCCCCCTTCAGTGGACGATTGGACATCTCCCCGCAGGACAAAGGGCAGCTGGATCTGTATGTTAATATCGCCAAACAGGACATAAAGGTGAGTGATTGTGTTTGGTGATTTCTGAGGAGTCCTAATCCACTAAAAATTCCCACGGAATTCAGCACGTTCCCCAAGCACTGGAAGCTCATTGATAACCTCAGGGTGTTTTTCACACTTTGCAGCATGTATCACGCATAGGGACCTGGCTTCCCATGGACTGTCGGTAGTAAGTCCTTTTGCTGCTGACGAACAGTAAATCTGTGGAATACTTTCTTTTTCTTCACTTCTTTTTTACGTTAACAAACTTGGTAGGGTATCAGAGCAATTTTAAATCAAGTCATTTATTTGTTTAGAAAGATGGAAGTAATGAACTATAGATTAGAGAAAGACGTAGGATCCCAAATGAAAAATTGACATAAAAATATTGATTCCCACAATCTAGTCTGATAGTTTTCAACATGGGGCGATATTGTACCCAGACATTTTTGGTTGTCATGTCTCAGGGGTGCTACTGCCATCTCGCAGGTGGAAGCGAGGTATGTTGTTAAGCGTGTTGCAATGCACAGGCCAGCCCCGCAATAAGGAAGCAGCTGGCCAAACGTGTCGGTAGTGCCAAGGCCGAGAAACCCTCCTTTAGTCTAGGGGTGGAGTTAACGTCTTAAGTTTAAATTTTTCTTACTGATTTTGTTTTTATTACTGCTAGTCGTATCTATGATTTAAAAAAAAACGGCAATTATAAAAATAGCATATATTTTCCTGCACTGTAATATCTTATTGCTTAGATTCCTGCCTTTCTATTCTAGTTGTCCCTGGCAAACCTGGTGCGGCTCAACCACGCCCTCTTCCCGCCAAGCAAGAGGAAAATGGAATCCCTGTATCAATGTGGTTTTGACGACGCTGTTAAGTTTTTACTTAAAGAAAACTGGTTTGAATAAGATGCTTAAGTCTATGATGCAAAACTGGTTTCAGACTGTTTTTGATGGAGGCTTCTAATGAAATCCCTTTTTAAAGAATCTATCAAGGACTCTGTCAATTTCATTATTTCTCTTTATAATGTTTGTGTTTATTTTTAATATTTGAATTATTACTTAGCACAAGGAAATAAGAGGCACTCTGTTAGAATTAGGCAGTGACAAAGAGGTATATACTCAGGTGATAAGGAGTCATTTTCAGAGAACAGTCGTGTCCTTTGGAAAATGTAGGAGGGTCGGCTTTTGGGGTAGGCCGTGGAATGTGGGAAACGGAGGGCCGCCGTTCAGGTGCTGGGGAGACCGCGGTGGCACGATTTTGACATGAAGCATGAGTGTTTCCATGAGGGAGCCATGTCCCCGCAGCTGTAGAACTGTGGGAACCAGGCTCTCAAGGCTGACTCGGGCCACCGTGGGAGAGGAAGGATTTGAGAAACAGGCAGTGTCAGGGTGAAAGGTGTGTATACCAGCTGCTGGTGCAGTAGTGGGTGGCATCAGGAAGCCCAGGAGATTTTGAAACTAGCTCTGTTTTTCTTATCTGTCCGTAGAGGCTTCCCCCTTCCCCATCTTCCGCCCCTAAACCCCACATCCCAGCTAAGGAGATTATCAGGCTGTTTTGATGCTTTCCTCTTCTAAAACCCAAGCTGTCATTCATAGCTTCTGTCTCTTGTCTCTCCCTTGTGTGTGTCTCTGTCCCTTCCTCCCTCTCTCTCTCTCTCTCTCTCTCTCTCTCTCTCTCTCTCTGTCTCTCTCTCTGTCTCTCTCCCTCTTCTCTCTCTTTCTGTCTGTCTCCCCCTTCTCTCTCTCTCTCCGTCTCTTTCTATGTCTCCCTTTCTCTCTCTGTCTCTCTCTCTCTCCTTCCCTCCCTCTCTCCCTCAGTTGCCACAAAGCCATACCTCTCTGAGTGTTTAGCCATTGGTCTATATAGTGGATATATCTACTCTAGGAACTTAACTAGATAAAATACCACTAAACATGAAGAACGGAATAAGCCAAGTAGCCTAGCAAATAAGAATTAAATCCAGAATAATCATTCAGTTACCGTTCTTAAACCACGTTCTACTGATCCCAGGTCTTCTGCTCCTTGAGTCGTTATCCGTCACTTTGAGGACTTGGGGGTGGGTTTGTATTAATGTACTCGCACTGTCTTAAACCTTAAATCTGTTTTCATGGGGTTTTGCCAAGCATGAACTCTTAATTACTAAGAGGCAGTTAGAGACAAACCAATTTAATTGCATGTCTCTAATTGTCATGCATTTCTCTTTTCACCCTTCGAAACCATTCTTTAAATCAATGTTATGGCTCTCAAAAGCTCAAAATACATAATTTTCAGCACATAGATGCCAACTATGGCCTCTTTTCTTAGAAGTTCTGCACAGACCCAGTCTAGAGTAATAATGGTCCTTGGGGCACATACTTTTTCCTACTCTAAGAAACATGTAGTTAAATCTTATGTTGTTTTAATAAGTGACATGAAGTGGATGGATGCTCAAATCATGCTTTCCTCCATTTATTCACTAGGTAAATTTTCAGTTTGGCCTAAGATTTTTTACCTTACCACTTCCTTTTATCATTTTATATGAATATTCTATTTGTATAATACACTGTATTTCAATGAATTCCTTATTGATGCACCCCCAGCAAAAACAAATCTTATTATATTAGAGTTGTGTGAAGTATTTCGTATCCACTGCACATGTCTTTGACCTTGTGGGAGGATGGCACTTTCCTTTGAAAACAGTGTAAGTTCATTGTCAGATCAGTCTGCAGTAACTTTCAAACACTGATGGAAATACAGCAATGCAATGAAACATGTAATTCACACGCACCAGGCATTCTCAGGGACGCTGGACCAAATCCTCCAGGGAGGCAAGGCTCAGAACACGCACTGGCCATATTGTTGGAGTGTGTCCTGGTGCATGTTACTCACGGAGAGCAGGCGTTCACAGCGGGACCTGCCTTGCTATTGGGATCCAAATTTCAAGGCATTGTCGAACTGGTGTAAGAAAATATGAAAAGACTCTCTGACCCAGATACTGGTATGTTTGCAGGGTAATTACTGTGATTGGCAGCCTGATAAGTTCCCAGTTCCCTGTTGGGGCAACTTCCTCATATCTTTGAATCTGTCATTTAAAATTTCATTAGTCTTCCTTTTCTTCTTTTCAATAACACTCTTTACTTTGTAACTATGGTAACCATTGACAATTAGAGAAAATAGATTTGGTTTTGAAGTTAAATAACACTCTAAAGGAGCAAGCAGTGTATTAAAAAAAAAAAAAAGGAAAAACTCTGTTACATTCTGCCTTCACAGTATTGGGGGCAGTGCGTGTTCACCGGAGGCTTGCAAAGAAACAGTCACACGGCTCTGGGCATTGAATTATGATTCCAAACACGCCTGAGCACTTAAAGTGCACAGATATATGAGAGAGTCTCAATTTTTTCTGATGATTAAAACAGATAAATACAACCGCATAAAACCCCTTTTTATGTTTATGCGTATTAGTCATAAAAAGTTTTTGGCTTCAGTCTATTCCTTTTACAGTTGAGGAGGCAATAATTATGGAAGTTGAGTGTTTTGGGATTTTTCTTGCCTAAACTTTTGTCTACACAATAGCAAAATGAAATGAGAGTTGAAGTAATCATCTACATAACTCAAAGTAGGAGGGAAAACAATTATTGCAGTTCGTGAAAAGTAGACAGATTTCTAAACAATTATTATTATCATTTGCAAATTGACAGTTTACTTGGTGTGAATTCGCCATGTATTATAATTGCTCAGCTCTGCATTAATTTTGACTGTGGTGACACAACGCAAAGCTTTGCTTGCTTAATGCTAACACATATGTTTGTATGGCCCCTAACTCAGTATCATTTTCCCATTCTGACTGACTTAAATAGTGGAAAAATATGTTTACTCATTGCCTTCTTCTGGTCTAGTCCATCAGTATTTATTGAGAATTTACTATGTGCTGGAATATGTGCTAGGTACTTGAGACATGGGCGTGAAGAAATAAAGTAGGTTCCTGACTTCATGGAATATCTGTTGTACTGGGTGAGAAGACAGTAACACGTAAATGAGTAAATAAACAAGGTAAAAAAAATGGAGATTGTATTAAATTACAAAAATAAGTAGAATAGTGTGCTGTAGAGTAATGGGGACAATGGCCTCCCCAAAACAGTATCCAGATAGATCAACACCACTCTCACTCCCCGGGCTACCTTTGTATGATTCAGAAAATAGCTCCATTTCCCCAAGAGGCTTATTGCCATTTGCTGGGCAATGATTGTATTTTTTCAATCATAATGCGTATCTGCAAGGATTCTGGTATGGGTAACACCTGCCCCACCAGAAGCAGCTGCCTTTGAAGGCGTTGGTAGAGACATGGACTCACAGTAATTTTGTGTTGTCTGGCGGTGGCACTGTCGTGATGGATCTTGTTCAGAAACCTTTCCTCTCTGGTTAGTGTAATAAGCTTTTGGCACAGATAACGCAAGATCGTGAGTAATACTATAATACTAAAAATAATAATAAAATTTTAAAAAGTGTTTTTTTGTTGTCATGGGGGTGGTTTGGGATGCTCTGAGTGCCGTCTCTGGGAGGTTGATGATACCCACCCCTCTGTCCTTTTGTGGACGCAGCTCCCACACTTTCTTGGTTTTATTCAATCAAAGCAAACTGTCCTTTGGAAAGTGTTCTATTTAATTAGAAAAAATTATTAAAGACTGGAAAAAGAAAAATGCATAAAACGTTAAAGGGGATAACCACATATTCCATACCTTAATTTAACTGTTGGCAACTGACATATTTGCTTCAGACATTTGAAAATACACAAAACATGAAATTTTAAAGCTAAAGCTCTTCTTTTATTCCTTCCATCTTCCATTTTTCAAAGGTAGCAAATACTCTGAAATTGTCATATACACATATATACACAAGATAATTTCATGTATCTCCACATGTATCTATACATACACACAAACACACACACACATATATATACAAAATTATGTGTTTCTGTGTGCCTTTTAAAATGTACATGATGTCGTCATTCAGTGGGTACCCTTTGTAACTCGTTTTTCTCACTTGATTTTGTGTTTTCAGTATGGATCCTTGCTGGTACGTGTAGATCAGACTCAGTCATTTCAACTATTGCATCAAAATGTATTTACCCACGTTTCTGTCAATGGACATCTAAGTCATTTCAAGTTTTCCACCCTTACAAACAATGCTGGTATGCCCATCCTTAGCCATGTTCCTTGTGCAATTTGTGCGCAAAACTCAAGAGTATCTATGCAGAGGTGGATTTCCAGGCAGTCACAGGGTACACATATCTGCGATTGAGTAGATATTGCAAACTGCTCTCCAAATTGATGCGAGTATTCTGCACACAGAATAATTATTGTGTGAAAATTCCTATCTCTCCTCATTTTTGCCTACACTTGATTTCCTCACATTTGAAAATTTTTGCTAATCTAATCTTGTTTTTATTAACACTTCTGTGATTACTAGGAGAGGTAGATATTTTTACAACAACAACAAAGTTTTTTTTTAATGATCATAAATATCGGATGCTCAGTAAAAACAGTTTTCCCGGATCACTTGAAAGTCCGTTCCTCAACTCGATGTCCCACCTGAGCACTTTTGCTTGCGTTTCCTACAAGCAAGGGTGTTCTCCTACATAAACACAATATAATAATCAAAACCCGGGAATGAACATTGACACATTGAATCCTGACACCTCATTCAAGTTTCTCCAATTGTTCCTCTGTCCTTGTGACAGGCCCTCATCATTCTTTTGAGCTCTACCTTCCTTTCTAGAACAAAATATTCCAGCCTCATCTTGTTCTTTCTCTGCCCTAGCCCTGTATTAGCTATTTCTCCAAGGTGTGGTAGCTTTTTCTAGTGGAAAATGTTATTTATATTTACCATATATATAAACCAAATTTATTAGCCAAACAGCAGTGTTATGGGTGCATTGCTGGTTCCAGGT